CATGACTCACCAAGTATACTGATTTGCAAGTCATAACATGTCCAACTCACTGGGTCCCCAGTCAACTCACTGATCCGAGTCTTAACTCGAACGGTTGGGGTTTCCCGACCTGACTCGTCTAGTCCAAGAACAGACTCGCCGAGTCCGAGGAAATCTTCAACCGACTCACCGAGTTGTTCTTCCAATTCATCGAGTTGCTGCCTAACTTCATCTAAATCGCCGAGTCTACCCATCTGACTCGCCGAGTTCCTACGCGACTCTAAGTTTGATATCTAGTCCCACTCGCCGAGTCATCTACCAGACTTGTCGAGTCCATACATGCATTCCCATAATCTTGAGTTCCAGAGCTACTCCTTTGCTCCATACCAAAGATCTGGGTTGCTAGAGTCCATTTGCAACATAAAGTTGCTACCTTTACGTGCTTCTTGTCCCCTAATGCGAAAAACCAAGCTAGAAAGGAACTTAACTCATGGAGAATGGCTTTTGCATAGAAACAAAAAGGGATTTCTGCATCTATGATCCAAATAGAGCTCAGATCTGGAGTTTCAACTCCAGATCTTACTTGTGCACCAACTTCTCATCACATACTCTTAAAGAAACCCTAAAACTCCATGAAAGACGGATCTAGAAAGGGGAAAGCCAAGGATAACGATTCATTACCTCTAAAATGTCCTCTTACTGAAAAGGAATCTGAATCTCCACTAACCTCCTTGGTCCAAGCTTCTTGATCTTCAAGATTTCTTCACAAAACACTTAACAATGCCCCAATTTGCTTCCAAAGGCTGTCACTCACGATTCTAGGGCTTCTGGATCTCAAAGAGGAGTAAAGAGGCTGGGGAATGGGTGTAATGTTCCTTAAATAGGGTGCAAACCCCCGGATTAGGGTTTTTCTCGTTCAGACCAGAATCGCCGAGTCCCCTTTGTCGACTCGCTGAGTCGTTTACTTAAATGATCCCCCAAATCCCGCTCTGACTCATCGAGTTCCTCCCTGGACTCGACGAGTTGACCCTTTAACTTAGGTTTTCTTTCCTTTCTTATCCTTTCTGATTTCGGGTGTTACAGAGAGTGTATGAGATTTGTGAATAGATCTATTCGGGACTGACAATGCCACACCTAAACTGCTAGCTATAGTTAGGCAGTCATGCCTGGGGTGACGAATACCATACCGTACGATGCCTAAAGAACGTCGCTGAGGTCATCAGTCATATCAAGCATGGTTATACGAACTCACAATAGTATAAACTAACCTTTGTTTATGGGATTTCATTCTTCATTAGTTTTATTTTAATTAATAGAAATACCATACGTTACACTGGAGGATTCCATAGTTTTCAAATTGAACTTACATGTTAGAAAATATTGGATTTTCTTGGGAAACATGCATATATTTTTCAGATTCATTGACAGGATTTTTCATTACGGAAAATATTCTTATGAACTCACCATCTTAGTGCTGATACTCTTTCAAAATCGCTTTTATTCTTAGGGAATCAGTAGACAGGTACTCTTGTAGCATTTTGAGAAGATGGAGCGTATAGAGACACGTCTTTTACTATTTTGTTGTCACACCCCGAAACCGATGGCGGAAACATTCAGGGGCTGAGGACGTCATGTAAACTATCACAACCAATGTACATAGCCATCATAGTAAACACAAAACATTACATTACATAGGAATAATTACATTGGTTTGAAACTAAAGTGATACATGTTTTATCTATACAATAGTTTGAACAAAAGTAAAGATGTGTCTGCTAAAACGCCCCGTCTTATCCAAAAGGTTGCAGGTACCTGTCTAATGTGGACCTGAGAATACAAGCAGTTTGAAAACCAGCATAAAGTTGGTGAGTTCATAAGCGGTTTGTTTTCTGAAAATGAACAAGTTTCCTTTGGTTTTTCTGAAAAAATGTTATCCAAGAAAATCCCATATTTTTTTTATAAGTAAGTTTAGTTATCCGTTCGTTATACAATTTGGTTATGAACAGTTCAGTTATCCCAGGAAAATCCCATATTTTCCTTAAAATTTTGTAGTTGGTTATCGATTCTGAATGTAATGTACAAGTATCTACCAAACTTGTAGTGTTAAGATAAGTATTCTGAAAACTTGGTTATCCATGAAAGTTCATTAGTGTTAACACGTATATAACACTAATAAGTAAGTAGAAAAGTTTTCATAATCTAAGTTGCGAGTTCCATAACCATACATTAGACTGGATAAGGCTTGTACTAGGCCAATATCGTTGATATAACTTTTGTCACCCGTAGACCCGTCAGTTCGCCTGTAGCTAGCAGCTAGGTGCGAGGTAGTCAATCCCATATAGATCTCTATACTCAATTCACGTTCTCCCTCCAGGAGATTCTGGTTACAGGGGTAGTCCTACACTCTCGTATCCGAGGGAGTGTTACCAAGGACAGGTCTCCAATCTTAAGATTAATGAAATTTGTCCTTCACTCTCGTATCGTGTGGGAGCGTTACCAAGGACATTAGAAAATCCGGTTGTTTAGTCCTCCACTCTCGTATTCAGGGGAGTGTTACCGAGGACGTTAGAAAATCTGGTTGTTTAGTCCTCCACTCTCGTATCAAGGGGAGTGTTACCGAGGACGTTAGAAAAGTTCTGAAGTTGATGCTTTTAATGGTAAATATGTGGAAATCATTTGTGAAATATAAAATATAATATTTTATAATGAGTTTCACAATTAGTTTGAAAACTAGCTCTGCAAGTTATACAGTTGGTTAATACGGTTTCCAGTGTTAAAAGCATACGAAATATGAAACATTTCAAAAGAAATCATAAGTTTGAGTACAAGATTTCCTTGTACTTTTGCTTGTATTCCCCCTGAAAACATCGAAAACATGGAAAAGTGTAGGGGTATGAACTCACCAGACGAGAAACGTGTCGGTTGGATGCTAAGTGTCAGTTCAGGGCTTGAATACACGCAAGGTTCCTATGTAATATGAAGAGATACATAATTGTTTCTAATTAGACTTTGAACTACCAAATAAGAAAGACAATACACTCCAAGAGGCGAAAACACTTTATTTCAAGTGTTAGGAGTGACCCGGGTAGCATCTAAGGGTGTGTAGGACCTAGATAAGGAGTTTACTCTTCAAGAGTAAGCCCTTAAAGGTGTTTACGGTCCAAACACCATGTCCCCATGATTTTACGGTCGTAAACTCATGGGTGGTGTGCTTTTGGATGTTAAAAGGCCTTACAGGAAACTCTGGTTACCAACTTGACAACGGTGGTTTCTAAACTATACCTATTATAGTTTACTTGAGAGGTTATCTAGATGCCTTTGCTACCGAAAGGTGATGATTTGGCTAATGGAGCTCTTATGACTATATATGTATACATAATATATAACTAATATTGAAACGACCTTAGGACGGATAGTCGATACCCTAAAGCCACATCCAAACAAGGAAAAGGAATTAAAGCGAGCTAGCCTTCCTAAGTCCTTCAAACATTACTTATATAACTATACCTATATAGGCATATATTTGAAAATATAAAAGTATAAAAAGAAGTTTTTGGTAAAACCTTTGGAAAATCTATAAATAAGAATTTATGACTTGATTTTAGTTTATAAAAACATGATTTGAAAACCTTTAGCTGGATAAAAACAATTTAACATGCAGAAATCTATTTGCTAGACAGTTATTAATCACATGTGATTGATCTAATAACTTACTAGTTCAATTTGTATTCCCCACATAAAAGCATTTAAAATCATTTAAAAAAGTTGATTAAGGGGTATGAACTCACCTGACGTGGGTGATTTGGATGAACAGATTGTATATGATGCTAAGTATCAAGTGAGGACTTGAACACACACGTGAATCCTATTTAACATATAGTGATACATTTAAGTATCTAATTAGTCATTTAGTAACTAATTATGCAAGTAAAGACATCCTAATACATGAAAACACTTTGCTACAAGTGCTAGGAGTACTAATGGTTGCATATAAAGAGAGTATGGCCTCACATTGGAGTTTACTCCTCAAATGGTGGCCCTTATGGCTGTTTACGGTTTCTGGACAACTTCCCCCATGAGTTTACAACCGTAAACTCATGGAAGTGGTGTCATTGGGTGTTTAAAGGTCCAAAACAACTCAAGGAATTAAGCTAGACTCAAATCAAGGGCTAAGGAAGTGACTAGGGCTCAAAATGACCCTTCTTTGGAGTTTATGGTCCTTGAACCACTCCTTGGGAGTTTACGGTCATAAACACATGGGTTTATGGCCGTAAACTCATGTTTTCCCATTTCTTTCATGTTTTGGTGTTTCTAGGTTATGCATGCAAGGTCTTAGTCACTTATACAAGCATTGGAAGGCATTAAGGGAACCAAAACACCATATGAAGGTGTTTATGATTTTTGGAGGTCTCCCCAAACCGTAAACTCATGTTTTCTTGGGGATCTTGATGTTCTTCCATGGTTTAACATGTATTCTAAGCAAATAACTTGATGGGAGGAGTGTACTTACTTATAGGAAGCTCGAATTAGTGATTAGATCCCAAGAACACTAGTGTGTGTTCTTGGTGTTTTGAAGAACACTTGAATATCTATGAAAAAGACAAGATTTCATGGATGAAATCGAGTATAAACACTAGATTAAGTGTTAGAACAACAAATCTAGGTAAGAAACACTTACATTTTGGCGGATTTGAAGGAAATGTGATATGATACTTGAGAGAATTTCTTGGGTGTTCTTGAACTAGGAAGTGAAAAATGGGAAATGGAGGATAAACTTATGCTATATGCATGAGTCCATGCTAAAGGGAGTTTACGGTCCAAACTCCCTTGTTTGGACGTAAACACCTAGTCAAGGTGTTAAATGGTTATTTGCTACATAACACTCCTAACGGACACTTCCATTTAATTGTTCGTTTGACGAAATATTAAAATAAAATACTCAAACAAACTTAAAACCGGCCAAAATGTTTTGAGATGAATTTGGGTAATTTTTGAAGTGCTTGACTACGGAGTTAAAACAAATGGAAATTTTAGGTTGTCACAAAAGTGATGACGAAGCTCCTGTCACAAGAGAGCAACTCAAGGCGGTAAATGAAAAACTCGATTCGTTTCTTCAATCATCCAAGGCTTCATCTACTGGATATTATTCACAAGCGACAATCAAATCGTTCCTTGAGACCCTTACGAAAGAGCATTCCGCCAACCTTGAGAAGATGAACAAGGCAGTTGATTTATTTGTTTATGTGTGCAACTAAACGACCGAAAGAGTTGATAAACTAGTTATAGATACTCGTTTGTTTATGGGGAAATTCTAGAGCTCCTTTGAGTCTAACACCGCGAAGACTAATGAGGTTATTTCTAGTCTAGGCTCAACTCTCAAAACCGAGAAGGAGAAACTTGAAGTAGTTTGCACTAGTCTTCAAACTGACTATGTTGAGTTTAATTCCTCCATTATATCGAAGATCATAAAGCTTCAGGATGACTTAGCCATGGAGAGAAAAATCATGGATGCACTTGCTATAAAGACTGAAAAGGTGAAAGTCCTGATAGTCAAGTTAGAGAATTCCAAAAAAAAAAGTCAATGATCTATTATTTGAGAAAGCAACTATGAAAAGTTTTATAGTAAATGTCGATGGACTGCTTTTAGATATTATTGAGACTTGTGACTCGATGATCACGATAATGGTCAAGAAGCATCTCTTTGAGAAACTCAGGTCTGTCTTTGCCATGATCAACCAACTGGAGGGTGTTCCAGAATTTGGCTTAATTCCAAAACTAAGAGGAGAAGATGTGAATCAATCCAAGAAGGAAGACCCCAAACCTTCATTGAAAACCACTGTCAAGGCCAAAAGCAAAACCGAACCAAAAGGCATAGAAAAAGATTTTTAGTGAAGAACCAATTATTGATAACAGAGAAAATGAAGTGACTGATGAAAATGAGCTAAAAAGAAGAAAGGAAAGTGAACCTCTGATGGATGAGCATCAAAGAACAATTTGTGAAGATGAAGAAAAGGAAAAAGTTGAACCCAAAGCTCAGGCCACACTGGAAAGCCAAAAGCACTTGTTTCCAGTGTGGACCTTGAAGCGAATCTTGAGTGAAGTTGTTGATATGTCAAGTCAATATTGGTTGGAACTAGTTATGTCATTCAATCTTCAAAATACACAAAATTCGCAGATGGACCTACCACTAACTCAGAAAACCTTTAGGTTTCGCAGCTTTGTAAATGTCTGATGTGCACAGAAGTACCCAGTAATTTTATAATTTATAACCTAAGTAACTCAACTAACTAAAATGCACCTAGGCAGTGTACGTAGTCGATTTATAGAATAGTTTGGTAAGTCACGTGTCGATCACATGGAACGGGGTTACTAATGTATTTACTACTAAATTAACCTAATTATTAACAAGCAAAAAGGGTTTCATCTGATTTTGCAAGATCAGACGAACTTAACTCAAATTCAATCAATAACTAGAAACACTCTTGTTTAGTTCAAATCCACGTCTTCTTTATGGTTAGTTATCAACTATGGATTATCAAAGTTGGTTATCTTATTTATATTATATTAGTAATTTTGGTCTAAATTTACCAATAATTAACTCATTCATGTAAAACTATGCATGGTTACACAATCAAACACAAAATTAGTTATGATTATGAAATTGCTATGTATGATTTATTATGCAAATGCAATTATGGTCATAATTTATGTTCTCTAGCACAACGAAAGTTATTTACTTCAATTATTGTCTAGAATTTTGGTCGATCCTAGCTCTAGAAATTCAGTGTTCATCAAATCACTAGGTAAACACGTTCATGCAGTTTACTGGTCACTAAGCTACACAGAACATGAATTCAAGTAACTCAAGAAATAACTATTAACATGCTAGGTGGTGACAAATCAAACACATGCAATTTACCAACTAATGAAATCCATTATCAATAACCTAATCCATAAGTCAAAATCTTCATCTAGCTAAACAAGAGTAGCTAGATTCAGCTGCTTATAGAAACTAAAAAGCAAATACAAATCAAATAACAAGACATGTTTAAGTATCAAACAAATAAACTTTTTTATGACCTCTCACTCCTTTGGTGTTGAAAACCTTTTTTCAGATCTCTTCCTCTACCAAAATCCATCTTCTGGAAACCCTTTTCTTCTGCCAAAAGTCTCGAAAGTCGTAATGGACAAGGGTATTTAAATTATCCGATTTTTCCCTTTTCACATCGTGACCTGATGTTTCACGATGTGGTTTGCGAGGAATCCTTATCGGGCAAGGATTTTACTTTGTGTGTACTTGTCTTCTGGAAGACTCATGCCATGTCGTGGCCTTCTAGTCCACGTCGTGGATTGGGTTGAATTTGTGAATTTCTTCATCTTTTGTACTCCAAGTGCCCAATGTTCCAAGTATTGTCAGTTTTGGTCCCTTTCTTCGAAAATGCTTCACTTTGGCTGCAAATAACAATTTATCCTCATAAATACCATAATTCTACGCAAATAACCAAAATGTTAATAAAAATGTAAGTAAATATTGCCTAAAAATATGTATAAATATGTAACATACACGTTTTAAAATCGTGTTTTGTAATGAATAAAATTGTGAAATATTATGTAAAATTGAGTGTTGAGTTCTAATAGATGGTTTTTACTAGAAATGAAGTAAAACTATGTTTAGAATCACTCAGAAAATATTGGAAGTCTTATGAGATTCCAATTAAAAGCCAGATAGTGAAATTTAGCGAAAATATGAAATTTTAAATAAGTAAAATTTTATTATTTGATGTTGTAGATCATCTCGTTAGAAAATTGTAGGAGAAAACCTCGTCAAAATCCGAGTTATAACGAAGAAGTTATGACCAACCGAAGATCCGCGACAAAACCGGCACGGCGCCGAATGATGTAAAAAGTGAGTTTTTGATAAACTACTTTTTAGCCTTAGTAGTCTAAATGAAAGTCGTACTATTCGTTAAACCGAGAAATTCGATAAAAAGAACGCCAAAATCTGACTTCGTATGAGGAAGTCTTGATTTTTCGAAGTTTCAACTTAGCAGCAGACAGCTAAAAACTCGAATTTTAGATCGAGCGATATTTTACCGATACATCCTAAACGATAATCGAAGGTCTCGTCATATGTAGTACAACGGTAAAAAGTCTGATGAAAACAGATGTCGGATGAAGAAGTTATGAATTTTTAACGGATTTTCCTGCCCCGGTCTATTAAAAATAATAATATTAAAATTAATGTCAAAATTAGCCGACGAAATCTAAACGAAAGTTGTATAGCATGATTTTAGCTACGCGTGCATATAGAGAACATCAAAAACGGAGCTCATATGCGAAAGTTATGGATTTTAGAAGTTTGGGGCACAAAAATCGAAAAATTCCGCATGAATAGTGCTCGGACACGTCACTCGCACGAAGCAGCAGTGTCACCGGAGACGTGGCCGAACCGAGAAGCTTCACGTGTCGCGAGCTGATTGGACCGAGGTGCGAGCCAATCTGGATCCGACATGCGCTTCGCCACCGAGCTGCTTCGCTGCTTGCTTCCGACGCGCGTTCTGCCCTGATTCGCCGAAGCCGAGGTCCAGCAGGAGCGAGACACGCCTCGCCTATCAGCCTCGCAGCCGAACCTCGCATCCGAGCCTCCTTCTCGCGCCACCTGCTTCGCTATGCTGCTGCCATCGAGTTTCGCTTCTTAAGCCGACATCCGAACCTCGGCCCTATATAAAGGGGCCTACGAACCCTCCCGGCTAAAATGAGAAAATTTCCATTTTTCACCCCTAAATCCATATATTCAATATTTTGACTTTTCCCGAAGCCCCGGTATCATTTTTAAAGCCCGAAACATGTCCCGAGACCCCCGAGAAGCCCGGAAAATTTCATCTTTTCGGTTTTGAAGCCCTACCTTCGCAGAGCCCGGTTTTCAAACAAACTCCCGGTTTTCAACATAGAAAGGCATATTTAAAGCCGGAGTGCTGTCCAAATTACTATTTTAACCCCCGGTTAACTTAAGGTGAGTTCAATATATAGGAAAAATTGTATGTTATGTGTTATATCTGCTATGTGCTTTTCAGTATTATCATTCTGAGTTATTTTATCGTGTTATTCGCTATGTTTATAGCAATTGTAATACCTTTGACCATGTGATCAGTAAAAGGACTTAGATTCACATTGGTACTGGTACGTAGCCTCTGGCCATGTAGAGCATGTCTCCATAAGAGAATGACCTCTATTCTATGGCATTGGAAAATGGTTAGACAGGATTATAAGCCTGAAATCTAACAAGATGTTAATCAGAAATTGCATGTCTTCTATGCCAATTGGGCCAAAGCTTTATTGATGTATATCAAGAATTGAAAAGAATATCTTTGAATAATGTCTTTGATTGATATGAACGCTTGTTACATGATCTCACATACATCTTGTTGTTCCTCTTTACCTTGTCACATTGAAGTATATATATATATATATATATATATATATATATATATATATATATGGCATAACATTATATTGTAGCTATTTTTGAACTCACTAAGCGTCACCGCTTACCCTATCAATGTTTAACAATTGCAGGTGATAAATAAATAGTAAGTTTACATACTAATGAAAGATGTAGAATAGTTTGTAATAGTACTTTTGTACTACTTTTTATGTTTGTATAAATTACAATATCCTGGGTAGTTATGTAATATATATAACACTTTGTAATAGAAGATTTGTATCCAATAGTTTGTAAATCCTTTATATCAATGTAAAATATTGCTTTTATGAATATGCAAATAGCATGTTTTGGAGTAATGATAATGTCAAATATGAAAGTTTGGGTCTTTCAAAAATACGAAAGTTGGGGTCTTTCAAGATATAGCAATATCAAAATACCCCACACTTTTGCTTTGGTTGCCCTCAAGCGAATCTACTTAAGTTAAACTTAAACCTTCATCAACAACATTATATAGAACAATCCAACTCAAACTCAACCATTATGCCAATACCTCAACGCATACATTTGTGTCTAAAGTTTTTCGTAAGTAACCCCCCCCCCCCCTCTTAATTCTAAATACTTACAATCCTCAGAAACACTCATCCACTTCTTTTGAACAATGCTCATTTTATGCAACCCTCCGAATCTATCCTTAGAACACTCTCTAAACTCAAGGTATTTTTGTAAAGCCACCCAAGCATACATAAACTAGAGAATTACAACTTTTAGAAGATACCACAATATGGAGCTCTTGAATTCTTCACTTCTTGATATTTTGATCTTTGATTTATTTGAATTCACCAACTGTTTGTGTAATTTTGATATCTCCAAATTTTGAAACTTCAGAATTTTCGATCTTTGATCTTCATACTTTGATACTTTTATGCTCCAAAAATTCTTCAAATTTTCACTTTTTGGTAATGTCTCTCTCCCTTTTTTTTACATGTAGTCACTTTTTATATCACTCAAAAACCTACATGCTTAAGCAGAGACGCTTAAATTCAACCTTTATTGGTTAATACATAGCTTTCCTGGATACATTTGAGGTTTAGGATGCTAAACATATGGCATTCCTCAAACTAAACGAGGCTGTGTTTTTGTTCCATGATTTCACTAAAATAAGGGAGGCCACAAATGCACTATAATGTGTATCAGATCAACTAAACATTTGAACTCTTGTCGAATCATCCCATATAACATTAGCAACAATAGTTCAAATTATTATTACTAGATCCAATTAAAATTTTGATAATTTACCAAATTTTCTAGTAATTGAACTTTTTCTACCCCCTACCCCACACTTGTTACATACAATGCCCTCATTGTATGCATAAAATAAATTAAAAGCAATAAAATGAGAAAAAGGAACAGACTCCCCTGGGATAGTGGCGTGATCGAACTTCAT